TAATTAATTTCCATATTTTCAGTTTTAGATTTTCGCTATTTTTGAAATGTTTTAATATTCTATATTTTTAGGATCTCTTGTAACGCCTATTTAAAGGCTTTTTGAACGTTTTCGGTATTATTATTGATTGCATACAAGTTTCGTTTTTGGAGAATTCCAGTTTTCTTATTTTCAAGATTTACGCTGGTAAATCTTTTACTTCCGTTCTACGTCAACTCACGCCCAGCATATAGCACACGGCCTGCAAGCTGATTTTTCTATGGCACCTACTGGAGCAGCATCAACATTGCTACATCATATTGTAATATTGAGAGATTTTGGATGTGGTACTTGTTGCTTTATCCAGAGAATATCATAGCCTATCATCTTGCCTCACACGCTATTTTGTCCCTGGGTGGCTCACCTGAGTTGATTATATTTGATCTTTAGTTGGCGTTGTATGTTCCCTCGGCCAGGGGCTGAGCCCAGTAAAGCCCAGGGTGGGCACAGGCCCACCTTGAACTTCTGGGCTCAATTTTTTTTTTTTTTTAGTTATAGGCTAAGTCCCAGCCCAAGAGAGAAAACCCAAAATATCAATATATTATACCCAATTGCCCAAGCCCAATCCCAATCCCAATCCCAAAAATTTAAACCTCATTCACAAATCACAACTCCATCCTCTGCTCCACTTCGCCTCCACAGTTCCACTTCGCAGCCTGAAGCCTGAACTGAAGCCCTCCACTTCGTAGCCTCCACTTTGCACGCGGCACGCAGCCTCTGTCCGAGTCTCGAAAATATAGAAAACACGGGAGATTTCAGATTTGGATTAGAGTCGAATGGTGGAGCATTTGATAGGTTGAGAGAGAGAAGAGGGGTTTTTTTTACCTGCTTCGCCTCCGTGCGACGGTCCCGACGATTTTTCTACTTCATCCTTCGAAAATCAGCTACAGTAAACTACTATAAGTTTGATTTTAGCTTGGGTCTTTTCTCCTTTTTGTTTGATTTTAGCTTGGGTCGTTTTATATGATTTTGGTGTTTTTGAATACATATTTGTGATTTGATTGTTATAAGTTGCACATATTCAGGTTCAATTGT